ACTTATTTAATCAATACAGGCTCCAAATGGAACCCATGCATTCTAAATATGTATTACAAGGGATTGTGTCTGATTAGAATCCACATCCATACATCCACATGTAACAAGTTATGCATTGCTTTATTACGGTATGTCAAATAGCCATAAATTAGATTAATATATTAAATGACATCTTATTCTGGACCTTTGTCCGATTCAATTTCTCCTAAAACCCAACATAACTGAGGAAAAAACAAGACAAAAAAACAAAACTTCAAGTAATTATTGTACTTATTAGATCTGTCTGAAATTCTGTTTTCTACTCTGTCTAAATTTAGGTTCTACCTCTATGAAGAAAATGTTTTTATTTAAATGGAAAAATGTTCAGAGCTGGGGCCTGAATCAGTATCAGACATAGTTTGCAAATTTGTTTTGTCTCAAATGCCTGGGTGTGCCTTGGCTTTCCCTTGAATCCTGCCCCCCCAATCAAAATGCAGATGGAATACTGTAACTCTTTTTTTGCCTAACAATTTGGGATAGATAGGGGTTAGGAACACATTTATTCCATAACAGTGAAACTTATTATTACAGTTGCATGCTTCCTAGGCCTAAGATTAAGTAACATTTAAAAAAACAATTAAGGCAAGCGAATGATCAGAGAAACATTGTGCTAATTAGGACTTTCAGGGTGTAATAACCAACAGTAGAAGTCCTGTGTTCCTTTTTAATTTGGGGAACAGTTAAATAGGGAGGAGGGAGAGAGAACCAAGAGTCAGTTTGGTCTAGTGGTTAAAGCAGCAGTCTAGAAACCAGGGCACCATGAATTCTAGTCCGGCCTTAGGTATGAAATCCGGCTGGATGACTTTGGGCCAGTTAGTCTCTCACAGCCGAACTCCTCTCACAAGGTGGTTGTGGGAAAAAGAACATTAGATGTGCTTACTGCTTTGAGTTATTTATAGGGGGGGGGGCATTACCAATCAGCAGCTTGCATGCCTAAATTAAGCTGCACGAAAAACAAACCGTTGATTATGCTATTTTTCCAACTACAAACGTCTGCATTCAACTGAAGTCTAAATTGCGTTGAATGGAAGAAGCAGATTCACGCGGGAAAAGAAGGAAAGTCAGCCAGCGGGGTAAACTGAGCTCCTGACTAAGTTTAGCACACGGAGAAAGTAACCCCGCCCAAAGCGTCCAAAGCCTACTCCAGGGTCAGCTAAGGAACCCGAAAACCTATCCCATCAGCCATTACCTGCAGTCCTTTGCCAAGGAAAGCAGTTTGGTCGAGCTCCAGACCGACCCTCCAACACCCCCCCCCCCATCCTCTGACAGGACAGCAAATGCCGTGGGCTCGAGGGTCAGAGCGGAGGGTTGGGCGGAAGAGCCCAAGCCTGACAGCTGCCAACTTTCAAAAGCCCGGGACGCTCCGGGCTCGGCTCTGCCTTGCCGACGGAGGGCCAGAGTGGCGGGAGACGCGTCTAAAAGGGCCAAACGGAGGAGGCAGATGGTCACCCTGTCGCCCGGTCCCTAGTCCCCTTTCAAACCCTCCATCGGGGCCCGCCCTCTACCAAACGAGAGACGTGCAGTCGCTGCTCCGGGCAGGCTCGGCGTGGGCGATGCCTTCCATGCCCGGATCCTACGGCCCAACCTTCTTTCGTAACACGCGGATCAGACGATTCCCTCTACTCCCCGCCAAGATACATCCAGTTGGCAAAGGAAAAAAGAAAAAGCGACGCAGCCCTTTTTCCAGTTCAACTTTAGGGGGGAAACGAAGCTGGCTTTGCAACCGAAAAGAGGGGCGGGTGGGGCCGGGCAGAAATTCTCCTAGCGGCGGAGGGAGGGAGGAAGGCAGGGTGGTGGGTGGCACAGAGGGGAGCGGGGGGCTCGTTCCTACCTGCTATTCCGGGCGCACTGGGCTGGTCGCCGCCAGGGAAGTGAGTCAGGCTGCGGGGAGGGAGGGCCCGACAAACTCTGGATCTCAGCGGCGCGCACACACACACGCACCCTCCTCCTTCTCCTCCTCCTCCTCCGTAGCTGCCGGACGGGTTCGGGGCGTGTTTTCTTTTTTCTCTGGCTCTCGTTACCGGCCTTTTGCGTTTCAGATCTTTTCACTTCTTGGCACTGGTAACGCAAATGAACGACGCGCGTTTGCCGCCTTCCAGGCTCAGGAAACGGAGGAAGCAGACGCTATAGGCGAGGCGGAATCCCTCGGGTATAATGGTGGTAATAATAATTAACACTGTCAGGGATCAACCTCTGCCTATCCCAGATCCTTGGGAAGGACTCCATAGGTTGATAAAAATGCCAGATCCAGTCTAAACATCTGGCCGACTGTGTGATCAACCATAATAGAAGTAGAACGTCCGTGGCAAAAGAAAGGAAGGGCAGTGCCGGTTGTAATAGAATATTCTTTTATTGGCCAAGTGTGATTGGGCACACAAATATTTTGTCTCCCGTGCTTAAGCTCGAAGCACTGGAGGGAAATCCGTCTTACGATTTGTTCTTTGTATGTGCACTTAGGACATACAAAGAACAAAGCAATACTGGTAATACCAATAGGAGAAGGTAGGATACCAATAGGAGAAGGTAATAGGAAAGATGAGAAGAAATAGTAACACAGCCCTGCTACATGGGAAAATATCCTTAGGCATAAGACAATGTTGTGAGAATTAGGTGTTTAGTAAAGGGATGGGCAAAAGAAGGGGGGGATGGGGGGACAGAGAAGGAGGTGGCTGGATGGAATCACTGAAGCAGTAGACGTGAGCTTAAATGGAGTCTGGAGGATGGTAGAGGACAGGAGGAACGTTGTCCATGGGGTCAGGATGGGTCAGACACGACTTCAGGACTAACAACAACAGAAGGATGGCGTGAGAGGAAAAACTGTCTTTGTGTCTAGTTAGTTGTTTTGGCATGCAAATTCCTGCAGGGGCGTTCTGAGGGGAGGAGTTGAAACAGTTTATGTCCAGGATGTGAGGGGTCTGTATATATTTTTCAGCTCTATTTCTGGCTGGTGCAGTATACAGGTCCTCAATGGAAGGCAGGCTTGTTGCAATTGTTTTTATCTGCAGTCCTAACTATCCATTTAAGTCTGTACCTGTCCTGTTTGGTTTCTATACCAAACCAGACAGTTACAGAAGTACAAAGGCAGACTCAAGAATTCCTCTGTAGAACTGTATCAACAGCTCCTGGGGCAGTCTGAGCTTTCTGAATTGACACAGGAAAAATATTCTTTGTTGTGCCTTTTTAATGATGGTTCTAATATTAGGTGTCCATTTCAATAGACAATAATAGGTGCCTTGGATGCAATTTTAAAACATCTGGAGCACCATCAGCATTGACCAAATTACCAACAGTCAATTACAAAATGCAACTTTATTTGGAACACCTTACAACCTGCTATAGTACCTTTGTTTATATCCAGGATGTGAGGGGTCTGTAAATATTTTCACAGCCCCCTTTTTGACTTGTGCAGTATACAGATCCTCGATTGAAGGCAGGTGGGTAGTAATTTTTTTTCTGCAGTCCTAATTATCCTCTGAAGTCTGTGTCTGTCCTGTTGGGTTGCAGAACCAAACCAGACAGTTATAGAGGTGCAGATGACCAACTCAATAATTCCTCTGTAGAACTGTATCAGCAGCTCCTTGGGCAGTTTGAGCTTTCTGAGTTGGCGCAGAAAGAACATTCTTTGTTGTGCTTTTTTGATGATGTTTTTGATGTTAGGTGTCCATTTTAGGTCATGTGATATAGTAGAACCTAGAAATTTGAAGGTCTCTACTGTTGATACTGTGTTGTCTAGTATTGTAAGAGGTATAGGAGGGTTTCTTCTAAAGTCTACCACCATTTCTACGGTTTTGAGTGTGTTCAGTTCCAGATTGTTCGGTTACACCACGAGGCAAGTTGTATAACCTCCTGTCTGTATGCAGATTCATCGTTGTCTCAAATCACTGTTGTGTCATCAGCAAACTTCAGTATTTTAACAGATGGATTGTTTGAGATGCAGTCATTGGTATATAGGGAGAAAAAAGTGGAGAAAACACACAGTCTTGGGGGGCCCTGTGCTGATTGTGCAGGTATCGGATGTGATTCCGCCTAGCTTCATCTGCTGCTTCCTGCCTGTTAGGATGCTTATGATCCACTTACAAGTGTATTCAGGTACCGCTAGCTGGTTTAGTTTAGTTAGAAATGTGTCTGGAATGATGGTTTGAATGCTGACCTGAAGTCTACAAAGAGGACCCTTGCGTAGGTATTTGGAGATTCAAGGTGTGGTAGGATGTAATGCAGAGCCATATTAATAGCATCATCTGTCAATCTTATTTGCTCGGTATGCAAACTGCATGGGATCTAACAGCGGATCTGTGAAGGTTTTCAGGTGGGACAGCACAAGCCTTTCAAAGATTTTCATAACTACAGATGTTAGAGCAACTGGTCTGTAGTCATTCGGTTCTTTGATGGAGGGCTTCTTTGGCACTGGGATGAAGGTAGAACATTTGAAGCAGGAAGGAACATAGCACATCTCTAGTGATCTATTGAAGATTCGGGTGAAGATGGGGGCCAATTGGTCAGCACAGACTTTTAAGCAAGAAGCAGTTGTCAAGTTTGGTGAGGTTTACCTTATGTTGGGACTATATCTCTCAGAATGTCCAGACAACATGAGGGAAGTTTATATTACTTTCTAAAGAAAACTAAATGCTGATAAGAGTTATCAAATGACTTGGGAACACAAGGAAGGCCTGTTTGCACAGCTCAGGGCCCTCACTCTGCATCAGGTCATCCAGACGTTTTAAGTATCTGAGAGTAACACTCTGTAAGGCCACGCGGTGGCAGCAAAGACACAAAGAAACCTTTAGCTCCTTGCTGTCATTTGAGGATCGTCCAGAATGTTATGGACCAGATACCAGTAGGCAGTCCTAAACGTTTCTCCTCCCATGGTCTTCCTCTGCCGGCACCGATACAAATTCAGCCAGATATTGCGTATGGAGCTTCGACACTACAGTATTAGTTGCATCCTCCATGAGCAGATTCTAATCTCAAAACGGGCTCACGCCAGGAGAAAGGAGAAGCCGCATCCCCGCCTTCGGCGGACAAAAGGGAGCCCGCACTGCAAGAAGACCTTCCATTGAGCAGGAAAAGGCTACATCTCCCATCAGACTTTGGGGGAAAGACTGCCCTTCGCATCTCCTTCGCCCCTCCCACTGGCCGAGGACTTGCCCGAGCATGCAGCTTTCAGTTTCTCTAGAGAGCGAGCGTGACGGGAGTTGAAGCGTTGGTCCTTCTGCGCCTGGAGAATCGCGGGGAGGTGAGAATGAGGCGCAGAACGCGTCTCTCCTGTCCATTTCCAGCATGTGAGCCGGGGAGATGTTTTGTCTTATCCAGGAGAGAAGAAAACGAGGCTGGCCCTTTCCCTGGGTTTGAAAAGCGAAGGAGCGAAATACGGCAGTGGCACTGACTGGCGCTGTCTCAAGCCATCGGGCACCCTTCCTCAGTTATTGCAGGGGGAGAGCCGGGTCAGCCAGTCTGTCTGTGAGGGTCAAAATCAGGAGGGCTCAGGTGGCACCTCTCACGACTGACAACACTGTGTTAAAAGCAAATTGCAGCTCACGTCATCGGGTGCAGGAAGTGCGAGGCTGATGTGGGATTTAAATTGGGGAGAAAGGGGGAGAGACCGGTGCTTATGTAGGTGCAGGATATACGCGAGGGAAGTTGCTAAATATATCACCCGTTAACAAACGTAATGTGTTACAAACTCATTGTATTGGTTGAGACCTTCTGAGGTTGCCTGGATACTTTTTCATGTGAGTTCAGCCATTTCTCACTTGATGATGCTGTTAAAGTCCCACTTTTGTAAGCTAGCCACTATGAGGTCTGCTAGGAAGGATCCAGGAAAGCTGAAATGCTCTCATATAACTCTGTTCTGATTTTGAGTCTTGATGTCAAACTTGTGTCCATTAATTCTTTTGCACAAAGTTTACCCTGTCTGGCCTACTTAAGAACCCAGAGGGGCATTGCTGGCAGATGTCACATTGGAGGAATTCACATTATTTCCCCTGATTGGGAGAGTAAATGGTTAATGGAAATAGCCTTTATGAGTTGAAAACGCTTTTCTGGACCAGTCCAGATGTTCTGGCTATAATATTTGTAAGAGTACAACATGAACTTATTGTTTGCTTCACCATTTAGAATCCAGATTTATTTTATTTTGAACAAGATTTATTTATTGTCTGCCTTTCTATTTAAAGGAGTGCTCATAATTCCCCTTTGAGTTATTGACAATGGCATATTGTAAGCTATTGATTGTGAAACTTACATTGGTAAGCATAAATGAGAACAATTAATCAGTCAAACAGCTCACCTCTGGAAGTTGTGAGTGCTTCAAAACTGAAGGCTTTCAAGAACAGACTGGGCAGCCATTTGTCCAGAATGATACAGGATCTTCCAGCCCTATTGTTCTATGTCCTGTGTTCCAGACCAGAGAAGACATTCATGTGGTATAATGGTTGACGTCCTGGATTTGTGGTTATGCAGTTGAACCCAGTTTGAGGCTAACCTCAGGCATGAAATCCCTCTGGGTGATTTGAGGCCAATGTCCTTCCCTCAGTCTAACTTACTTCACAGAGTTGTTGTTGTAGAGGGAAATTGATAGAGGAAGTGCTGTGTGGAAATCTAACCAATAAAAAAATTCTGGGCATCTTGCCATATGGATATGAGTTTCTCCTACCTTGCAGGAAGACCATTAGCAACATTAAACTATAATTTTCTCCTAAAGGGAAATCTCACTTGTACAATTGAACAATGACTTTCCTCTTTTGTATGTCAGACTGTGGAGCATTATTCATTAATATGAACAACTGAGTATGAGGCGTGTCTTTTCAGATGATGATGATGATAGTCAGGGACCCAGACAGGTTCTTGGTGGAGGAAGCAATGCTTGATAAAGCCACATAATTGTTGTTACTAACAGTGATTCTAACACGCTTTGCCTTTTTTGTGCCAGCCATGACTGAACCTCTGGACTTCTACCAAACGTTTGTTTTCCTTGATATTGAGTCCACCGGGTTGCCCAGAGACCAACCGCGCATAGCGGAGCTGTGCCTCTTTGCTGTTCACCAATCTTCCCTGCAGCCCTCTCCACAGACAAAAGGACCCCAGCTGCCTCGCATCATAGACAAGCTGATCCTCTGCATCGACCCCCAGAAACCCTTTACTCTGTGCGCACAGGCTATAACTGGGCTCAGCAACCAAAATCTAGAAGAGAACTGTAAGCAGGAAACCAACCGTTCTTTGATGGAGACCCTGAAAGGGTTTTTAGACCGGCAAGCTCAACCCATTTGCTTAGTGGCCCACAATGGTCTCCGCTTCGACTTTCCTCTGCTACGTAAAGAACTGTGGCAAATAGGCACCGACCTGCCTGCAAATACAGGATGCCTTGACACATTGCAGGCTTTGAAGGATGTACTTAGAGTGCCATACCTGAGCTATAAGCTGGGAAATCTGTACCAGTATTTCTACAGAGAGGAACCATCCAGAGCCCACACAGCTGAAGGAGATGTGCTTACTCTTCTCCTCGTGTTTCTTGCTAAGGCCCTTGAGCTGAAAGCTTGGGCAGCCCATCAGGCCCAGAAGTGGGAGGAGATTCAACCTATGGATTTTCCTCACTCAAACAGGATCTGATCTCTGGAAAAAATAACACCCTATCTCTACTTGTCTTCCGTTATACTGAACCATATTTTTTTTTAAATTGTGGTTTGTTGATTAAACCATAATTTATAAGCTTGTTCTTGACCAACCAAGCTCTTTTTCTTTCCTGGATGTAGAAAACCACAGCAACAACCACAGAGAAGATATGCAGTGGCAGTTAGCAAAACATGATTCAAACCTGGAACAGGAAGGGAATACTAGAAAGAAACTCAATGTGGTTCTGCCTAAACTTTATTTGATATAAGAGGAAGGGAAACAGGGAAGGAAAATGCAATTAACTTTCAGGATTCTATTACTAATACCTACCGGTATATCAATAAATTAGAGTGCCAATAAATCTTGTAGGTTCTTCTTCCTGACGTGGACTTGAAGAGGGTGACACTTGGGATCATGTGGCAACTATCTGATCCTTGGGAGAAGATCCTGCTTTAATAAATAGCCAACACATGCTGTGTCAGGTCTCAATGAATTTTTCCTCTTCAAATCTGAAATGCCACATGATCCTAGAAATTCCTTTTCATTTGCACATTTAAGGAATTTGTCTAATTCTACTTCAGATTTTCATCATTATTTTTGAGCATAATGTACACAGTTGCTATAAGGCTAAAATTTAAAGATGCATGTTTTAGTTTCTTAGCCAACTTTTCCTATTTTAAAGGAAAGGGATTCTCCTGAAGATATGGATTTAAACCTACTTTGAGACAGATCTGGATTTTGGAAATATTTGGAAGGGAACTTCAGGAATCCTTTCTATGTGCTCTAAAGGAAAATGAATTATTGGTGATAAGAAGACCAAGCTTTTGATAACAAATTTGCCACTAGGAATTCCATAATTTATTTAAGCTATCTTAAATTGGGGTAAAAGTTATTATGGAGAATTAAATTTGAAAAGTGTGTGAGTTAACAGTATTTCCACTAAAGATCCTCAAATTTTGAAGATTTGGATTGCTTATATTTGCTCTGGATACAAATGCCAACTTTCCCACTCCCCCTAATGTATCTTGAAGTAAGGTTTGTTAATGTAAGTGCCTGTTCCTCAATTACTGCCTGTAATTATATTAGTAAAGAAACCTTTACAAATACCTGGAAGATGCCAGGTTGGAGATGAATAAAGTTGTCTTATCTTACAATCATGAAATGAAAAGTTTATTTTTGAATGGGATTGCGGTTTTAATAAGTTTGTGGGTGAGACCAAATTTGAACTGGGCACTTCTTGTTATATATTTCAGCCACCATTGCTATCAGAAGGCCTTAATATTCTGCTTTTAACCCATGGTGTTTAACATTGTGATGTATAAATGTTAATGAACACAGAAGTAGCATTTGTAAATAATGTTGGCATAAGGAAGTAGTTTTCTAGCACAGTACTTATTTGAACTCCCACATGCTTGCAATAACCTGTGAAAAAAATTCCTAAGTTCCTAAGTAAACAAAATAGGTTGTTCTAGGAAGTACTTCCTGTTGCTTATTTGTTTATCTCATAATTATCAGTTACATTTGATGGACTGTTTTCTTATTCTCTTATTTTTTTATTTTTTAAATCCCCTTTTATTTGATATATGCACAGTTATGTAAAAAAAATCAGAGACTGAGAGGTACAACCAATGAATCGGTTAGTTTAAAATTGTCCCCTAATTAAATTGGCCAGAGATTTTATTTTTACAAATAAAATTTACTTTCTTTAAAAAAATATATTAAAAATTGGCAGAGGTTTTCTTAAAAGAAACATTTCCCCCTCTCTCATGCTGGAAGATGCAGTTTTGTTGCTATCTTCTCCAAATGTGTGGGATGCACCTTTTTGGATGCTGCCTAAGACATCAATAGGAATGATTTTTCCAACTGATTTTATTATAAATAAATATGTGATTTTTTTAAAAAAATGATTAAATTAAAGCTCATACAATAATTTGGTCCCAAAATCATGCAAAGTTGCCTTCTTTTTAACTATCATAGATTGAATTGTACACCATGGAGGAAAGAAAAATTATTGTCTCTTCACTTGTGAAACTTTCCTCAAATTATATTGTGACTCTCCAATTTGTTCTGACTTTTTAATAGAATTTGATTTAATAGATGAATGAATCTGTATGGATAATAATTACAGGTTTTGAAATGAATTATCAATTTCCTACTTAAGGATTTGTTTGTTTGTCTCTTATGTATTTCAAAAATTGGTAAATTCTTTAGAATTATTATGTAGTATGAAAATTGCATATGGTACTTTAATGTTTTTAATGTACTAACTGCTGGAGAAAATAAATGAATGAAAGTTAAAAAATATTTCAAATAAACTTGCGTATGGAGTTTTCTTAATACGGTATAGCAGTGCTTGCCAAACTTTTTCCTTCATTCCCTAAAATTTCTTCTGATAAATTCCTTTTTACCCAATGTGGATAAAATGTTTTAAGTCAACTTAAATGTTCCTGTTGTGCAGAGGTGGGATACGACAGGGTTAACTACCGGTTCGGGATTTACGAGCTTCCCTGCATGCTGTGAGCTGTGCGCCTGTAAATAATCATCAGCACGCTGCGTGCCGAGAAGCAGCCTTTGAAACAGCCCTCTTTTCCTGCTTTTTTAACTGCAGCTCGTTCGGCAGCTGAAGTTGAAAAATCAGGAAATAAAGATCAGGTAAGAGCCCGGGTGGGCGGGTGGGCAAAAACATCAGCAGACATAGAACCGGTTCTATGTCTGCTGCTCTTCAGAGCTACCGGTTCTACAGAGGTGGACAGAACCGGTAGAAACCCACCCCTGCTGTTGTGATTGGGTGTGTTTACCTAAAGAAAAAACAGTTTTACCTAATTTGGGGTAATTTATCCAGGCTTGGGAAGCACTGCAATCACTATCACACTTTCAAACTGAATACAGAAGTTCTGTCTTAATACCTTTGAATTGGCCTGCAGTGGGGAAAACACTAAAATACTATGACATACTTACTGTGAAATAACTATGGGGAAATGCTGAAATGCTAATGCTGATTTTTCAATAAACTACCTGTTTGAAGAAACTATTCCCACAATTACAGGAACACAACAAAAATTGCTAAGAAAAGCAGGAGAGAGATATACACAAATCTATATTTAGTTATGATGCTCGGTTAGGTGGAATCATCACTTCTCACCTACCTTTCAATTATCAAGTAAGAATAAAACAGGAAGTAGTATAAGTTCCATCTATGTCAAGAGTTTCTCTGTGGACTAGAGAAATTTGTTTGGTTTAGGAAACATTTGTGATTGACTTTTCCAATTGAGATGATTGCAGTGAAAGACATGATTTACAGACATTGTATTCTGAAATTTTCTCCCTAGTGTCCTCAAGTGTTAAGAACCTACCTTAGCTATAGGCAGGGTGGGTTTCTACCGGTTCTGTCCACCTCTGTAGAACCGGTAGCTCTGAAGAGCAGCAGACATAGAACTGGTTCTATGTCTGCTGATGTTTTTGCCCACCCGGGCTCTTACCTGATCTTTATTTCCTGATTTTTCAACTTCAGCTGCCAAACGGGGCACAGCTGCAGTTAAAACAGCAGGAAAAGAGGGCTGTTTCAAAGGCTGCGTCTCTGCACAAAGCATGCTGATGACGATTTACAGGCGCGCGGCTCACAGTGTGCAGGGAAGCTCGTAAATCCCGAACCGGTAGTTAACCCTGTCGTATCCCACCCCTGACTACAGGCTGCCATGTACTAGGCCAGGGGTCTCAAACTTAGCAACTTTTGTGGATTTCCAACTCCCAGAATTCCCCAGCCAGCAGACTTGCAGTCCACAAGTCTTAAAGTTGCCAAGTTTGGAGACCCCAGTACTAGATGTAAGTGAACTTAACTGGAGCACAGTTTGAGCAGAGCATATGCCACACAACACACCCAAGATAGCATCCTCTACAGCAGGGGTGGGGAATTATGGCTCCTTATGACCTGTGGACTTCAACTCCCAGAATTCCTGAGTGAGCCTGGCTGCCTCAGGAATTCTGGGAGTCGAAGACCACAGGTCATAAAGGGGCCATAGTTCCCATCCCTTCTCTACAGAAAGAGATATGCTACATGTTCCATCTTGTGCTTCTCAAGGGAGCCTGCTTTTTATTTTGTAGTGGTGCTCTGTTTTGTCACCTCTCCAAGCCACTCCTGTCATGAAGTGGGAAGGAAGTAAGACCACCTTGTCCTTCACCAAAAATAGTTTGGGTGGACTGACCTAAGGATTATAATCTTCTGCACTTTGAGATTAAGGAAGTAGTTCTTGCCCTGAACAAGCAATTTCGAAGAGGAATTGCTCTCTGAATGATCAACAAATGAAGAGAAGCCACACTAGTAAGTAGGAAACAGTTTAAAATGGAACTCTTACATGCTATTTTACCAGTTATAACAGGCTCCCTTTCTTCTCATAAAATGTCCCCCAGGACAAGTGTACAGTATGAGTTACGTTTTATTGAGTGGGAATCAAACACATCAGGAATTACCCTATTTCCTCAACATCTTTTCTGCATGACACAAGGGAAGCTTCCAGGGTGTTCCTCTTGTGAATCAATGGTGTAGACTAGACCGTGTCACTCATGATAAGGACATGCAGGTTTGGACAGTTATCTCAGCTGGGTGGCATTTCCAAGAACCAGAGCTGTGAACAGGAAGAATGTTGAACAGAAACTTAGTTGCAGCAAGTTCAAAACTTTGTCTCTGAGATGACAAAGCTTTAAAGATCTTTTTGTTTACTCTGGTGATCTTTCACTGCTTATACATCAGTCCTTAACTCACAGTCTCCAGAGTTGCTCTGAGTCCTGTTGACAAAACTGTGCAACAAAAAGAACATACAAATTGTTGAAAGTCCTTTGATTAGAAAATGCAAAAATGACTTACAGGTAGTCCTTAGCTTACAGTCATTTGTTTAGTGACCTTTTGAAGTTATAACAGCACCAAAAAAAGTGGCTTATAATCATTCCTTGCACTTAACTGTTCTTAACTAATATGGTCACTTAATCACAGTTTGGGAGCTTGGCAACCAGCACATATTTACAATGGTTGCAAGGTCCCGGGGTTATGCAATCACCATTTGCAATCTTCCCAGCTGGTTTCTGATAAGCAGTCAATGGGAGAAGCTGGATTCAACTAATGACCACATGATTCACTTAACAACTAATGAAAAAGGTCTTAAAATTAGGTGTGACTCAATTAACAAATACTTTGCTTAACAACAGAAATTATGGTCTCAAATCTGGTTGTCAGTCAAGGACTACCAGTATTTCCTTGGGTTTCTCTATTTTTCTTATTTGATTGCTACCTTAATGATAGCTGTCAGCCAGTTAATTACTGGTAGCCTGTAAGTACATACAGGTAGTCTTCAACTTTCAACTGTTTGTTTAATGACCAAAGTTACAATGGTCCTGAAAAAAGTGACTTATGACCGTTTTCCACACTTACAACTATTGCAGCATCCGTGTGGTCGCTTGATCAAAATTCAGACATAGACTTATATTTATGAGGTTGCATAATCGTATCTTGGAGTCATGTGACCTTCTGACAAGCAAAATCAAGGCGGAAGACAGATTCACTTAACAATCATGTTAACAACTGCAATGATTCATTTAACATCTGTAAAATAAAACGGGACAAAACGGGACAAAATTCACTTAATAACTGTCTTGCATAACAACTGAAATTTTGAGCTCAGTTGTGGATGTAAGCTGTAGTTAGCCATTTTATATATCACAAGCAGGGAGTCATTTAAAACTTGTGTGGAATGTGCCATACGACACCTGAATATATTTTCCATATATATCCTGTTTATTTTTCAGTGATGCGACAGTTCTATGCTCCTTCCCCTTATTAATTTCTACAGATTAACTGTCAGGCATCAGGGAAATCAGGCGATCCAGGCAGTTCAAATGGGTATAAAAATTTATTGTAGGTTTAAGCTCTCTACAAGAATCTGTACTACTAACAGTGTCAAAGCAATTTGGTGGTAGTTAAGGAATTGAAAGTAGGCTGGACTTAGATCTCTTGTGGGCGCAGACTAATGATGCCTTTGGCTCTTCTCTTGGGCTCAGCCTTGTCCTCTCCTGCATTAACCTCCTCTTAGCAAAACTGGTTGGCTGCCCTATCTCTGGCTCTTTGCAATCATATTAGGCTCCTGCTCATCCCATAATCTTTCCCAAATTAGTTAATATGCTATGAAGCAAAGAAAAGGCCATGTTTATAAAGGGCTAAGAAAAACTATGTGGCTCTAATTAATGGCAGATGACTCCTTTTTTTCTGAACTGATTGGAAGTGGTTGAAAAACACTGCATTCATGGGTTGCACTTTTAGCTTGAAGTGAAATCATTCAAGAACAATTTAAAAAGCAGATTTTCCTTAGTCTTGAGGCTTCAGGCAGGCCAAGAAGATGCCATGGCATTCTTTTTTCTTTTCTTTCCTTCGCCAATCCTGCTTACCCAAGGGAGCACAGGTGCCCATTTTCAAATGCTAACTCTTCTTTGAATAATGTAGTTTCCCCTAACCAAGTCAGCTTTAGTGGCTGGGATCTGGAGAGTTACAAGCCCTTTGATGATCACTTGGACTTACATATACGGATAAATAAATCTGGAATACCCAGTGGGGAGTGAGGAACTTTTATCAATCAAAAAGATACATGACTAAAATATGAAGATAGGTAGCATGATTAAAACATCAAATAAAGACACATCAAACATTTACTTTTAAATTCATTTTCTTTCTGTTTTTATTTGGTTTTTATCCATTTTTTCTATAATTTTTGGGGGATAAGGGGGCATTTTGGGGAAATAATGCATATTATTCTGAAGTTTTGTTGCTGTTCTTGTTGGTTGGTGGTGTTTTTTTCTCTTTTTTTGTCATTTAAAGATGGAAGAAAAAATCACACAATATCGACCGGGGCAAAGAGCCGGACAAACCGAAACGCACAATTACGGCACAATCAGATACACAGACACTGAGTAATATATAGTCAGAGTGCCACTGGGGGTGGGGAGGGGGAGAATGAAGGGGTCTGGGCTGAAGGGGGAAGCTTTGGCTGGTATGGAAAGTGGAGCAGTTGGAAGCCAGAGGTTTTAAAGGGAGAAAAGAGGAGCAAGAATTAAGGGATGGCTTAGAGGGGGAAAAATGAGTAAGTGGGGAGATCAATGTAAACATGGTGAATAAATCTGAGAAAAAGTAACAGGGCTAAGGAAAAGGGAGAAGTCAGTGACAGGGCTCAGATTAACAGAATGAATTAGAGAGTTTAAGAGCAAGATGCATATTTATTTGGACACAAGCTCACATGGAATCAACTTCGTTTATTATGTTAAGAGCTAACATACCTGATACCAAACACTCCAGATCATATTGTACAAGGCTATTGATCAGAATGATTTCACACGCACCATGTTTGCAGTTGATTACAGATTCTGGCTTTTAGGAGCTTGGTTTGTGTGAGAATGTGATACATCCAGCAAGTGGGCGATTCTCTGAAAACCGCAGAGCTCAGAGATGGCATTTGAATAGATTGCTGTCTCACTCTTCAGCTTGTGTAATTTTGGACCACCATGGTGATTGCTGAGAGCATGGCAGCTGATAGATGTCCTGCATAGACAGGGCTCTTGGGACATGCCACCATGCAGCTCACATTGGCTTGTGAAGCCTGAGGGCGGCTCGATACCACCTGTCATAAACAATCATGTATGGAGGCTTCTATGTGAACCGGACTGGGGATAGCCTTAATGATTGAAAAGGTTCAGCGGTTAACCATCCTGATGATAAGTTTGGTATCTGGATGGATTAAATTATCATATCTCAAATACAGGTTTTAGGAGAGAAAGAGAAAGAAAAAAGAGAGAGAATGAAAATTAAGAAAAGCATGGGGAAAGGATGGATGGATAGTGGAAGCCTCCCCCGCAATCTCCCCGTCCCGTAACTATAGACCCCTGGTGCAACAGCTCACTAGGAACAAGTCCCCCCACCCCTGTTTTGCTCTTCCCTCCCAACCAGGCTAAAGCTTTCTAAAGAGATGGTCAATACACATCCCTTCAAAACAAGGAGCACCTCAATGCTGTGGATCTTTCTGAGGCTTCCCCATTTTAGCATCCCTCCTCCCCTGATGCAACGGGCCATGAGAATATCCTTGAGGAAGAGGAAGAACAGCTGCAACCAAGGTAAAGATCAGATACAAGAAATGTAGGCCCAAACTAGAATTTGGGAAAGCATCTCAGACTCTACTCACCCTGGTTAATAAAGAATAAAGGTGGTGGTGGGAGGAGTGAAGGCACAGTCAGAGTTGCAAGATTCTATTACTGTAACCCTATAATTAAAGTAGCTGCAGTGTTGACTTTGGTATTTAAGTCAGGTCTAACCTCAAAGAGCTAAGATCAGTCTTGCAACTCTGAATGTGCCTTCACTCCTCCCTTCTGCTGCGCCTTTTATCCTGAAGAGGACTAGGCAGGATCAAGTCTAAGACTCTTCCTCAAATTTCATTCCTGCTTTGGACTCAGATTTCTCTTGTCTGACTGGTGCCTTGGTTGCGGCTTGTCCTCAAGGTTATTCTCACAGCCCATTATAGATACCTGGCTGGAAGGAAATCAGGGGATAATTTCCCCCAAATATATTTGCCCTCTATCCTACCCCATCGATCGATGGGGTGAAGTCAGGAATGGAGGCTATGTTTAAAAAAAAAAACTTTAAAGTGCTGCTAGAGGATTGAACCCCCAAACCTCTTAAAACCCAAACCTGCCTGGCATTTGCACACTCAAAACAACCCAATTGCCCTCTACCTCATCCCCTTCTGGCCCAGCTTCCGGCCCATCTTAGAGGCATGCAGAGGAGAGAGGGAGGAAAGCTTGGCATCAGATGAGGGTCAAAGGAAAACTGAAGTGCTGGAATGCCTTCCACAATACAGAAAGCATGGGATGGGGTTCAAAGTGAATGGCGAGAGAAAGGGTACTTCAGGAGGAAATCCGACAACCCATGTTGGCTGGAGAGTGTAGCAGATAGGCCTGGGGAGGCCAAAGGTCAAGAAACTGTCCTGGGGAGGGCAATGGTGTGGAGAAGTGTGTTATGCATGAGGCATTGGGGCAGTGGGAGAGGGAGCGGTCTACCTCTAGTTATAGTTTCTCATATATATATAATATATATGTATATATAAACAGCACAAACATCTACATTCATCCTGGGGGGGGGGGGGGGGGCTCCACCAGCCACCTCCCAGTATGATCACCCACCAGCCCTCCCTTCCCACGCACAAGGGACATGGGGAGCCAGGACGGGATGGCTGCTTCCTTCTCACAACGCCTTCTATTTGGGGGTAGGAACCTGTGGAGAGAAAAGGGAGAAAAAAGAGCCAAAAATGAACACAGAACGAGTGACATCATCCCGCAATTGATGGACATCCTGATATAGCAGAGAAGGACAGGCGGACATCTTAGCCAGATCCTAGCAGAAATCAGTAGAAAGAGGCACCTCTCTCTAGGACAACAGTGGTAGCCTGTCAGATGTTATCCTCGATCCCCAGCTCTGGCAATTGTCTTGGTTCAAGGAGACCATGAGCGCTGTGTCATGGGGCCCGCCTGGCCTAAGTGTCAGCCCCAAAAAGAAGGCAGGAAGAGAAAATCAACTCTACCAAAAGACTAGAACTTTTATTGAGATTGGCTGTCACAGCAAAATCTTGCAAGTCTTGATTATGCTGTTCCTCCTCCCCTTTCTTATACACGCTTTTGAAAAGGTTTCAGAGTGACTCTGGATTGTCAACTCTGAAAACCTCTGGTTAAAATGGTTACAGTGCTGGGATTTTCCCAGCCCAAGCTGCTTGGATTGGTTGGCTAGTTTGGGTTGTGGAAAGTCATGATAACATGGCTGTGACAATGCCCGTGCCAAACTGCTTGTCCAAGGACACAATATATACAGTACTTCAGGTTTTCGGAGTTGATAATCCTGAGTCACTCTGAAACCTGTTCCAAAGCATGTGGAGACAGCCATCCCAAGACAACTTTGGGGAAACGACAGGACAGCTGTCCTTTTCTACATCATGACAAGAATAGACTGTGTGTATGACACTCCAACTTGGTGTATAGAGTAAGGAAGTTGGCCTTAATTGAAATCTACAGAAAGCATTACCTAGGTAAATATACCTAGGTAAATATACTATTTCACTTAGGTGAGATGGGTGGTGTAGAAATGGGATGAATGAATAAATAAGTAAAATTTAACCAGGTGACTTCCATTTAAATCCAAGCTAGGCCTGGTTAAGAAGCAGTTTGCAGCCTATTGTGCATTTTCAAACCCATTAAACTCTCTAAAGCTACCCAACTTAGATTTAGCACATTAAGCAGAAAATCTGCAACCCCCTCTTTTTATCTTTGATCTAAAATACAATAATTTCGCATTAAAGATAGAATTTCCTGTCTGTGTGTGGCTGCTGAAATTTGCTGCCTGAGGTGGAAATCTGCCAAGAGGGCAAGCTTCCTCTGCCTTGAGAACCGAGAAGACAAACTTGGTATTCTTCCACATGATCTTAAAATTACCAGTGGGAGAGCAGGAAGCTTAATGCAATTCGGGTTTTATTGTTAAATAAGCTTGGTACGCTACCAATGTTTCTTTTGTTATTGCAAATTATGTATGCTTACTCGTTTGATTCTCAGGACCAAATTAGAAATGATACAGAAAGCCTTTGACAAGAGTTTCTCTTTAAAACACACACACATAAAGTGAGGAAGTGCCAAGCTGACATGGAAGAAACACCCAATGGGACAACATCACTGGGAAGGGAATGTTCAAACTCCCACATGCAATGATAATAATTTCCATTCTTTTCCATAAACTGTTGCTTGCTGTACAAATTAGGCATACAGCAAGAAGAAATTAGATGGCTTGTTAACTACAATTCCTTTGGAAATTTGTTAGCAGGACAAAACAAACCAGATGCAGCATGATCAGGTGGGCAATTTTAATGGGGGAAACTCTAGTATCCTGGTCCTGATGTAGCTTGGTCTGTGAATAAGTTGGTATTCAGTTGATATGAATTGCACACAGTATAATTTAAATACAGGTTTTTACAGAATCGTGATGCAGTTTTGTATAATTATACAGCGTGAACGTTTTCTTGTTTATATACTTACACCTATTATAAAAATATGTGATTTTTATCAGAGATAGACAATCAGTTGCCATCCACATGGTCCCAAACACTAATCCCAGTCCTTACTCTGGCTATACTTTCTAGGGATATTGGGAGTTATGTTTGAGTAACATCCAGAGTGCCATAAATTGCTTATTTCTGCTTAGAAGATGGATACAGAGAAGTGGTTTCTTCATTCCATGAGCTGAGGAGAGCATAAATGTTTTTCCCTTGGAAAGAAAAGAGAGTTTAGCTACATTTTGTAGGAGTGGGTACTGCAAAATGAAGTTTGGGGTTCAAGAGGAACCTGAAACATTTGGGTTAATGTATCTATTAAGCAAATTAGAAAATTTCCTGTATACAGATCTCACAGCCCAGGTATTGATCTTACTCACTTCTTTTTCACAACTTTTTGATGGCATTTTATTCCCAACTGCTGTCTTCACAGCACTAGCAACACAATCTCTCTTCTCCCAATCAGTGGGCTCATTACTGTGCCCAAGAAGCTGTCATCCCCCGCCTTATTTCACACCACAAAGAGGGAGAAAAAAAGAGATAAAGAATAGTAAAATGATTGAAGGGTTATTTTTTTTCTTTGACTGATTTCTCACCTTTTCTTTTCATTTTTCACTCCTTGTGTGTGACCATGCAGAGACTGAAAATTGAATCTGACCAACTATGGAGGTAGTTTAATCTTTGTAAGGCTGAATTTAAGCTAAAAACCTGTGGGTTAGTGACCAGGTTAGCTAACACCTTTTCAGTTATCCTGGGGTACCATTAAATATGTAATGGGACAGGACTGCTGTTGAAAACTAATTAATTTAGTAATTAACATATTACAAAGTATAATTAACATATTACAAAGGCTGTGTTCATATAACATACTAAACCAAATAAACAACAGCTTAATAGTTGATCTGATTCATGCAACACCTTGTTTAATTTTAGATTAGCTACTGCAGCTTATAAACCATGGTTTATGGTTTAGTATGTTGAGGGAGCACAGCCACACTGATTTCCTTTTAGTGTAGGCACAATCTAAGGGCAACTGTGGTGAGAAGCTGTCATGGATTGAATTATTGTACTACTTGCTTAATCTCTGGGCATGACTCAATTTTACTGTGTGGTAACAAGCTCAAACTCTAAATGCAGGGTTGCAAAAGCTAAAATGGGACAAAACGATAGGCAGAAGGATAAGCCTCCATCCATACTGCATGAACTATTAAAACATATGCATAGACATAACTCTCCTGAAGTTACAACCTCAGTCTCTGTGTATATGTGTGTCAAAATGATGATAGGCAATGACTTATAATCAAATCCCCACACCTTTTGTACAGAGGTGCTATATTAATGCAAGTACAATTGGAAGAGCTTTGATCACAATACCATGCCTGCCATTTTTCAGATTTGGACCCTTCCCATCAGTGGTGGGATTCAAAAAATTTTACTACCGGTTTTGTAGGCAATGGCTTGGTGGGTGTGGCAGGGGAAGGATACTATAAAATCTCCAGTCAGAGGTGGTATTTGCCGGTTCTCTGAACTACTCAAAATTTCCCATACTGGTTCTCCAGAACTGATCAGAACCTGCTGAATGCCACCTCTGCTTCCCATCATAGACACTACTAACCACTATGCAGAACCATGCTGCATAATATTAAATCTTAGACTGGTTTCCTGTCTCTCAATGGAACCTCTTTTGTATTTCATCAAAGAGTTAACGAATCTTGTTAGCATACCCCTCATCCTTTCAGAATTATTATCTAGGATTCTTTCCCATCCAGCTGTTGGCTCCTTTCTCCCCAGACATAAAGAAAATAGTAATAGCAATAACACTTAGACTTATATATAGCTTCACAGCCCTCTCTAAGCTGTTTACAGTGTCAGCATATTGCCCCCAACAATCTGGGTCCTAATTTTACCCACCTCGGAAGAATGGAAGGCTGAGTCAACTGCCAAACTGCAGGCACTCAGCAGAAGTAGCCTGCAATACTGCATTCTAACCACTGCGCCACCATGGCTCTCAAAAATCTGCTTTCCTTTATTTCTCTATTTTTTTTAAAAAAAAAATTGCTTGTATGCAAATACATCAAAGCAAAAATCCAAGCCAATAAATGATTCCTACAGATATGTTCCTTGTGATCTTTGATTGGGACTGGACTTTTCCACCTGTGTCTACCTGATGCTGGGTTTGCATGAGGCTTACAATGTATAAGACATGTTGAACTTCATCATCAGTCTGTCTACCATCATTTGGAAGTACTCAAATGATAATTCTAAGGCAGTTATGAAGACTTAACATATAACAAACAATGAATAATAAAAGATTTTCCAGTTATTGCATACCTGTACAGATGTTACTATTTGCTTCACATCAACTGAAGCTACAGATATCACTATGCAAGCCATCATTTCCACTTATCAGATAAGTATTTCTACAGAACTTACACATTTATTTGTAGGATACATGGCATGGCATGCAGGCAAGCTCAGATAAACAGTGAATGGTCTTTGCTGCTACAGAGCACATATATAGCTTATCACATCTCTATAACAAAATTGTACCGAATAATGCCACATATAAATACGCTCTATTTCAAACATGATTGGTTTTAAACCAGTTTTTATGGTTATTTTTCCTTTGAGAATTGTTTGAGCTTAGAAAGTTCTGGGGATTTTCTTTTGATAGTCCTCTGTGAGGGTACTGGATTTGTGAAGATTTGACCCTGTTAGGCAGGCATGTCACAGAACCGGGATAACTAGGGCTGAAGCAAACTTAGAATAAAGAAACCATATATTCTAGTTACATATGATAATTGGGACTCAACTACTGCTATCATAAGGATTTACTGAACTGGAATGTTTATGGGCAACATTAACTATGAAAGAATTTACCTGCCAGTATAATTCTGACAAGGCTTACTTCAAAAACAACAACCATGTATTGGCATACATCTATATAAATGTCTATGGCCCTGCCGAAGGACAAAAAATGTAGAGTGTAGTAGCATATGTAGAATTCCATCTTCTGAGAACTTTGAATAAAAGTTCTTGGGCACTGTCAGTATCTGTGGAAATTTTATAAATTTGAACATGAAGGAAGAAAGCCAAATAAGAGTTCCTTTGATCAAAGGGGTCAGGCTGCAGAGCCTTAGATCGGTCCTCGCTTCTCCACAGGGCTAGCAGAGCCATAACCTATCATGCAAAACCTTGTCACGTATAACATGGGATGGATCAGCACAATGTATGCAACAACTACATGATTCCATTTCCCCATATGTTTCCATGACTCACCCGCCTACATCTGGTTTGCAAAGGAAGTGGGCCCGCTTTGGACATAGCCACCTTGCTGGGCGAAGTCTCCCTGCTGACCATAGCCTTGCTGGCTGTAGTCAGGCTGGTATCCACCCTGCTGCCCATATGTGTCCTGTTGTCCGTATCCTGGAGCTTGGTTGTAGCTATCTCCATAGGTATCAGGTGCTGGCTGCTTCTCCTGGGCTGGTGGGTACTTCATGAAAGGGGCACTCCATCCAGTCTCTTTAAAGACGAACCATAGGTTTCCAACCCAAAGCACCAAGTTCAGGAAGCCAAAAACCTACGGGCAACATGAAGGTAAGTTGATGAAAGAGCTGGGGACATAACAGCCCTACCTCTTAAAAACACTGCATGGAGCATTCAAGAAGAATAGCTCAGCAACCACACTAACCTAGTAAGCATATAATAACCCTGAGGAATAATGGCTTCATTCTTCATTGGTCAGACTCAAACCTACCTCAAGTGCTAGGTACAATTTCGGATCCTATATTTTAAGAAAGATTCCCACAAAGCAGGATGAGTACTAGGATGAACAACGTGAACTATCCAGGCAACAGAAACCTATACTAGAGTAGATGGAAGGAAGTGGATGCTGGATATTTTATCCTGAGGAAAAATAACTGTGGGGAGCCATGTATCATATTGAAAATTGTCATTAAAAATTGTCATGACTTGTCCTTTATTATCCCAGAGATGCAAAAGAATGACTTTCAGTAACAGGAAGGCTAGCTATTTATTCATTCATTTATTTGTTTATTTGTTATGTATAGAAGCCTATCTCAAACCAGTGACTCTGAGTAACAAATAATCATAAATAGTCAAAATACAATACAAAAAAAGAAATGAAATACAAATAGCAGCCAAGAGATATCATAATCAGTTTCAATATAACTAGGAAACAAGGCCCTTCATAGATTTGGACCCCAAGCTCAGGCACACATAGTCTATCTTCTGAAAGGCCAGCAAGGTCAAGGCCATCTGAATTTTAGGGAGACTATTCCAGAGGGCAAAGCCAATGGTAGAGAAGATATGTGTCTTGGTCCCCACCACCTGATATTCTTTGGCTGACAGGACCCAGAGAAACACTGTCTTAAAGCCAACTCTCAATCTCTTCTAATTTTAATTTAGGAAGTGAGGGGGAAAAAAAACCTTAATGGCATCGTCCAACTCTCTTATTCTATGCAGCTGTTGTGCCCCCTTGCACACTGACAATAGAGATAGGCCAAACAATAACCTGAATCATAGACTGAAGAACTGCAAAGGAAAGTCCTAATTCTGAACTAGCTTGTATCTTCGTCTTTTTCAAAGTTTCTGCAATCATGGATCGCTAAAAAAAGAAATTGAAAAATGCTGGGACTACCCAGTTAAATAACATCACCCTTTCTTCTTATCTTTAAGTGCAAGGAAGGGTCATGATATTTTAGTGGATAAGACAGTATTTAGACTGGTACAATTACCGTATTCCTTTCCCTGGTCTCAAATAATGTCATTTCCCCTACAAAACAAACAAACAAACAAAATGTTGTTTAATACAAGCATCTGGGCCAGGATAGTTCCAACTTGTCTATGCCTTCCTATTTCCTCCAGATGAAAAAACCTATCTAAACAAAATTTTGTTCTGGAAAATATATAGTAATTAATTAACAGGGTTAAATGTTATTAAGTTTGTAGGGAATTATTCACTCATAAAAGATTGTTTGTGTACCAGATTCTAAAGGGTGATTCGATAAAATTTATCATATCTCAGCTGTCAGGTTAAGGTTTGTATTAAAGAAGAGGCCAAATTGGACAATATGATTCTGAATGGCATAGGTTTAATCAATTGATCAAAACCTGAATCATAATGATGAAATTGAACTAATATTATTTAAAGAGTTTGATATGTTTTCCTTTTCTTCTCCTTTAAATGGTATATTCTCTATATATTTAGAAATAAATTGCATTTAGGTTTGTAGGGGATTGAGTTTTTAATTTTGCTTAGTTGTGTTTTTTATTTCTCTGCTCTTTCTCTGCTCTTTTCTCCTTTGACTTTTCTCCCCCCCAAATTAGTATCAAGTTTTTTTTCCTTTTTTTTCTTACCATATGGTAAGGTTTCTTTTAAAAAGTTTATAGTTTTTATGCAATGCTTACATTGCCTTGTAGTTTCTGTGTAATATTATGTAACAATTAAGCATTTTTTTGTAAATGGTTTTAAAAAATTATGTTTAAAACTAATCTCCATTAATCTAACTGGAAAAGCACTGAGAAGCTCCCTGGGACCTCAAAAGTTCTCTCGTTGTAGCAGCAATTTAAAAAAGCTCATTTGTTTGAGCTGTGCAGTTCTGCTTAGTCATTAGTGCTTAGTCATGAATAGACATGCAAACAGAATGCAGCAGTTTTACTCTCAGGACAAGACAGCAGTATGGACCAAACCAAACTGGAATTCTAAAAGTCAGCTTCAGAAGTAATTCAACAAAGGAGCAGCTTATTTTGTCCTGTGGAGCAAGTGTCTTCTTCTTAATGGCTGTGTGTATGTGTGTACATGAAGAAGGATAGAAGATGTGATGAGAAAATATGAGAGGACTATAAACAGGAGATAACCTCACCTGGAGCCTCTCACAAAATTCAAAGAAAGAGGCAGGGTGGATTTGTTATAAAAATAATTCAGTAAAAGAGATATACAGACAAACCACAAGAATAAATCTTACTTTTAAGATCAGAAGTTTATTTCATGAGCAATTTGGAACATGAAAAGCCATCATAACATTACTTATAACATTACTTATATCAATAGCCCATTGCAATGCAGTCCAGAGACAGTAGCTAACTCCAGAAAGGGTAGCTACCATCAGTGACCCTGATTTGAGATTTATCTCCTTCTTTTATCCTCTTCTTATTCTGAAGCCCACCCATGGTATGTAACCGTACTGGATGTACTTCCCTATTCCCTCATACTGTCCATCAATTAACACCCACTTGTAGGTATATGCCAACTCACTTACCATCTGCTACTTTCAGTCCCCCCTTTTCTCAATATCCCAGACATTTGTGATCCAAAATAGCTCTAATTTTGATTGTCCAGCAAATATATGTTTTTGCCGAAGTAGCAGATAGCAAATATATGGCTGTGCCTGCGAATTCAGCTCAACAGATTGCAAATATTTCGCTATGCTTGCAAAATCAGCTCAGCCAGCGCTTTAATATATTGTTAATTTGAGGCCTTCAATTAGGCAGAGGCCTACACCAACTTTAGGGCCTAGTTGTCCTTTTCTCACAGATTGCACAATAAAAAATTATCTAGTAGCATTCTGAAACAAAAGGATTATATCTGGCTACGAGTCAGACCAGAAAACAGAATTGTGGGATTTATGTGATAGCAAGTAGATCTGACTTGGATCAACAAATGGTAATATGACACAAGTGTAACAATTAAGGTTGTTTCCTTGAAACTGGCTCATTGTAAGACACTTACCAGTAGAGACATCACCCCAAGTTCAGACACACAGGCATTTTTACAAAGCAGCAGATAAAGATGCACAAAACACCAACACATCCATGTAAACAACAAACTTGTCCTGGTACAGAGTTCATTAACTGAAAGCCAGAAGTACAAATGAACTCTTTGAAAATATAGAAAACAGACTCATATGGAAACACACACACACACACACACACACACACACACCAGATACTGCAAAGCTATATCAAAGATAGCTAAGAAATACAGCTATAAAATGCATGTTCAGCCTCCAGGAATAGACCCTATATGAAAATCCTGTCTACACTTTAATCATATTCTTAAGACAGTAAGATGGAGGACCTACCACAGAAGTGTTGAGGCCAGAAGTGACGGGCTCGTATTCCTCCTTGCATTTGACCTCTGGTTCCTCACACACGGACATGCCTTCTATCACATTATCAGGGTCAGTGGCCTCCTTGACATCTGAAAGCCCCTTGGCCCAAGCGCAAGAGCTCACCAACCACATGAACACAAAAACAGCTGTGACAATGAAATCCTGCAGCAAGAAGAAGAAAAACCCAATGAGGTTATAGGAAAAAATACCCAATGTGTGAAGAACAGTAAACCTCTGGGGATCTTGTCCGTGAATATCATAAGCCTCTCTTGAAATCCAGAACCAAGATCCTGTCATGGCCTCCCAGCACACCCTAACCCTAATTCAGCATAGGTAGAAGACTTTGCGATCAGTGGTGGGATTCAAAATTTTTTTGCTACCAGTTCGGTGGGCATGGCTTGGTGGGCGTGGGATACTGTAAAATCCCCATTCCCTCCCCACCCCACTAACCTGTTTTCCATCTCCATTTTCCTGTGCAGGGCAACAAAAGAAGACCCAGCCGATCAGCTGGGACTCGGGAGGCAGAGAATAGATGCGGGCAGGGCCAGTCAGAGGTGGTATTTGCCGGTTCTCTGAACTACTCAGAAATTTTCTGCTACCGGTTCTCCAGAACTGGTGAGAGACTGCTGAATACCACCTCTGTTTGCGATAGTGGCTATTTGTAGCTCAGGTATAGGATAAGAGTGAAGGTTCAGCAACTCAATGGCCATGTCAGGTCTATCACTCAAGCCCAGGATTTTAAATTGCCTAATTGATTATTTAAATTTCACCTCAGCTAAAAGATCATTAGGTGGTCTCAGATAGGCCACTATTTTGAGATAATAGACCCTGGTGGTAAGTAAAAATTGGTTTCACAAACTTTGGAGGAAGCCCCCACCGGACACTAGTGCTTGCAATGGGTCAGCAGTGAGATAAAACTATGGAAGTCCTCAATTTACAGCAGTTTACAACTATTGCAGCATCCCTTTGGTCGTGATTAAAATTCCGATGTTTGGTAACTGATTCATATTTATGACAGTTGTATATCTCGGGGCCATGTGATAATCTTTTGCAACTTTCTGATAAGCAAAAAAGTCAGTGGGGAAGCCAGATTCACTTAATAACTGTGTTACTAACGTAATAATGGCAGTGATTCATTTAACAACTGTAGCAAGAAAGGTTGTAAAATGGGGCAAACTCACTTAACAAATGCCTTGCTTAGCAATAGAAATGTTGGGCCCAATTATGGTTGTAAGTTGAGGACTACCTGTTAAACTATAGCAATATGGCAGTATTCAAAATAAATAAAGAACCCATCATTTCATATTTATTTTGTTCAACATACTTTAGACATCCTGCCTCATGCTATCATCAATTCACTTCCTGTTCCTAATGAACATTTAATATTTTGGTGCACAAAACAGGGCATTCAAAAGGCACTCTTTATTCAATGAGGTGGTGGCATGAACAACCTGAATGTAAAGTTATTGTTAATGATGGGTGACGTTTGATCCTTCCCAATGGATTTCTGAAGGTTTTCCAAATGCCTGCTTGCCATTCTAGGTGTCCTCTTCAGAAGCAACTACTCCAGAGATGGTCTTCAACAGGTTCTGACCAGTTTTGGAGAACCGGTAGTGGAAATTTTGAGTAGTTTGGAGAACCGGCAAATACCACCTCTGACTGGAGATTTTACAGTATCCTTCCCCTGCCACCCCCACAGAACCGGTAGTAAAAAAAAGTTGAATCCCACCACTGAACTACTCCTGCTGAGTTTAATTCAAAGGCTACTAGTATCAGGTGTGACATGTGTGCCGAAATGGCTTGTGATCCTATCACCCTATAACTGTACTCACAACCATGGGACCTTTGTTGTTCTCCCTGTATTTATCCTGCATGAAGATGTAGACAACAATCGCAGCTAGAGAATAAAGGAAGGCGAAGACTGCAATGGTGACAAAGAATTCAGCAGAGGAAGAATAGTCTCCAATCAAGAAAACCTTGTCTTCTCCTCCTTTACAGGTGGGAGCATCAAAATACACCTGGTGGAGCCTGGAGAAGAGAGAAAAGAATATGTAACAGGAATTCACAGGAAAAAGGCAGCCAGTTTGGGTGAACGTTGGTGACACTGGACCAGATAGATGTTATTGGGTTGGTTTATAGTTCCCAGCATCCCATTTGGAAAGTGTTATATTAAGGAAAGCTGCCTAATACTACAGGAGGAACACAAAGAGTGTGTGTGTGAGAGAGAGAGAGAGATTTCATCCTTTCTCAGTACATATGAAATCAAGAACATACTCTTCTTAAGAACTAATTTCAGAAGAAACAAAATCGTGGGGATTACTGCCACAGAATTAGACCCTGATTATGAAAAAGTGATTAGTAAAATTCATAATGGAATCTACTACATGGCAGCAGTCGTTATTAGCCATGATAGTGGCTGGTTCTTCAAGGTTCAGGGTAAATATAGTCCTCAATGCAACAAGTTAAGGATTAACAATTGTGGAGGTCCATTACCAGATGCTCTGCTAATGGGCCCCTTGGATTTCTCTGCATGACTGTTGGAAAAGCACACGCACAGACATGCATATGTGCATGCCTCTATCCACATATATACCCATCCACATATATATATATCAAGAGTTCAAACTTGTCTTCTGTCCTTTATCCAGAAAAGATAACATTCCCTTTGTATTGACCCTACTTCCAGTGTTCTATTGTTTGCTTGGCAACAATAAATAGTGGTTTGTCATTCCTTTCTTCTTGGATATTTTGTATGCCTACAAACATTCCTTGATTATCTTCCATGTAATAACCTAGTTTGACTCTGCTTGGCATTTTGGGAATCCCAAAGCTCTATCAGGTGTTGGACATAGACTGTCAAAACCAGAAGTGCAACCCACTGGTTATAGCTTACTTATTTCTGGAATGTGCTGTGTTCTTGTCCATAAACATCATCTTGGGCGTAAACGTTTGCTCACCAGCAATTCCTTTACCATTTATTCACTGAACAGCCCCAATTAAGTCTTAACTCACCGGAAGGGGTAGGAGAATTCCACCTCTATATTGAGCTTGCTCTCATTTTTCTTGGGACAATTGACGCTGAGGCGGAATTGTCCAGTGTAGCTGCCACACGTCGCAAATGCAAAAATGGAAAAGAACTGGGGCGGGGGGGGAAGAAAAGGGGAGCAAATATGAGTGACATTCACAGGAAATTTGGAAATCTACTCAGCAACAACCCCATTTATTGTGCTACATATCAGAAATGTGGTACCGGGCAAGCAAGAAGGCTGGAAATATTACAAAATGGTACAGCTTTCAAGGATAGTTAGTGTCCATGTGTAAAATATTATACATTCCTGAAAAAAATGGCAATGGAAGTTATTTGCTACATTAGAGAATGGAAGTTTCCTGAAAATAACTTAATGGAAGGTTTTGAAAAAAATAGCTTGATGTTTTTCATTGTGTTGACTTTTTCTGAAATATTTTCTGTTTGAAATATAAAATCTGGATTTTTAAGTACTTCCTTTTATATTGAATATGTTAATTTTATAAGATGTCATTACTGTAATGCTAATTATATTTGCCAGATTAAACATTTGTGATGTTGAATTCCCTGCCACCCAAATATTTTAAAGACCTTTCTCATAAACATGCCAATTAATTTCTGGCCCAGTCATCTAAGTAAAAATATTAGAACCGGGAGGTGGATGTCTTCTCATTGGTACCTTATCCTGGTTCCTTAGAGTAATAGGTTAAGATGAGTTCATGTTTTGTTAGCTCTGTTGGATAGTTAGATAATGATTGATTGATAGGCAAGGACATGATTTGGCTGCTGGCATTTGTCCTCCATGATTGGTCAACTCAATAGTCCATTAATAGCTCATGTTATAGAAAGGAACGGAGTGGGGTGAGGAGAATAAAATTTCCTGAGATATTTTTTTTGTTTGCAAGAATTTGGGTGGTGAAAATGGTGAAATTGCTCTTAGATACAATCAATTTTTTACTATTGCATATTTAAATATTTTAGTTCTTTAGTATGTTTTTTTTTAAACCAATCAGGTTGACTATCACAGGGATCTGAAGGACAAACTATTACAATAAAAATGCATGCAATATTTTTCCCAAAGAAACCTTAAAAAAAAACAGATTTAGCAGGCTTCAGACTAGAGTGGATGGTACTTAACCTTTTTTTCTATAATCCTTTTTCCCCTAGTCAGAATCCTCTCAAACTACTTTCTCCCCTCAATAAGGATTAGCACAAGGGTCTTCAAACTTGGCAAGTTGAAGACTTCTGGACTTCAACTCCCAGAATTCCTGAGCTAACATGACTGGAGGAGGAATTCTGGGAGTTGGTCCACGTTTGAAGACCCCTGGATTAGCATCTAATTTGAATTTTTATTTTAAAAGGACCACATTTTGAACAATGATTGCAGTTCAGCTAAAAAATAACATTGAAAAGTTACAGGCAGTTGCTCTACTATATTGCAAACATTCATCAAATTTATACAATTAAAAAAATATAGATTCCAATGAAGGAATCTGGGAATTTTAATTTGGTGAAGGCTATATTGTCTAGGTTTAATAATATATGAAAGGACTGCGGTAGTCGTGGATTCATCCTCATGCAATGTAATTTTTTTCTTTGAAGAGTTTTATATAATTTTAATCACTATATTTTATTGTATATCATTGTTTTATTTTTGTCTGTTAAATGAGACGGACATTTAAAACATTAAAAAATGTTAGTCTCCTATGATTCTAGAGGTCTCTTAGCTTATAACTTCCACTCTAAATATGGGAATTCCCAGGTTCATAATGAAGAAATACATGTTAAACTAGTTATATGTTTTTTACGGGATTAGAAATGAATCATAATCCATGGGTGGAGTTTGTAGAATTCAGAAGAGTTTAATCTCATCTCAATTTTTTTTCATCTTATGTTATACAGCTTCCGCTGTTATGCCTATGAGAAGTTTTGGTGTACAGAAATTGCCTAATGTCCAGTTGTAAAAGGTACAAGCCAGTTGCAGATTTCCTACCTCAATGACAACTAGGGACTTGAAAAGAAAACTAGTAGGCATTAAGCACCCATAATTTCTCCAAGCCAATTTGAAGTATATTTGAGCTGAGGCATATGATGCTGCATTCTGCTGAACCTTGTGCCGCTTTGTGTGGAAATATATATTTGAAACGCTTTATGACCCCAATGTGGCTTCAAAAGATTTTATCTTTCTACAAAGCACATCTTTTCTCATAGGTGGCCCTTTCTCTCAGTTGATGCCAACGCATCTCCATTTCTAGCAAGACAACCTCTCGATAATGAGCAATGCCTGCACCCATATGAGTCACAGGGCTATTTCAGTCTTCCAGAGCAGTAGAGCGCGGGGGTGGGGGATGTAAATGCTGTTGGGTTCACTTGGGCCAGCAGGGGGCACTCTAGGAAGAAAACCAGCAGATGAAGGGATCATCTTAGCCTTTGCTCAGGATGGGGGGCCAGGGGTGGTGGTGGTGGTGGTGGTGGCAGGAGGCATTTGGTTTACTGTCATCATGGATCAGCTGAGAAATCACTGTGTGATCATAGATATTTTTAGAGCAAAATTTGCCATAGGGAGAGCTGGAGAATGAGGGTAGGCGAGAGCGTGCCTTATCCCTCTCTTAATCTCTTCCTCCCAGCATCTAATCAGGGAGGGACCAGATATTAACCCAGCCCTGACCCACTTTGCTGCCTACCACCCAGGGAGCCACCATTTCCTGCCTGGGCTCAGCCCACAGAGCAGAAAAGACAGCAGACATGCCTGCTTTAAAGACCTGCTGTACAGTGATTGCTATTGGAAGGCTTTTAAATTATGCGGCTATGAAGTAGATTGTGAGGAGCTTAAATCCCTTTAATGAAATGGCTTCCAAAGGCAGAGGGCAAGTAAAAGAACTGCAATAAAAAGGAACAGCATGCTATTCAGGGTTCCAGCCAGCTGGCTGGGGTTGTTTCTCCTGGATCCTCCATTACACGGTGCGGCATTCGGTGTCTATTGGATGTGTGCAGTCCTCGTTAATCTGATTTGAGATTCCCCCCCCCCCTACCAGAATTCCCTTCCCCCAGATGGTTTTGTGCTGGGGATAACATGCTCCCTTGGAATACTGATAGGGCAGAAGGGCCCTTGCAACAGAACAAGCTTACTAGAGGTCCCACAGACAAATAAATACAAATGGTGATAAATTAATCTGGTTCAAGATTAATGCAGAGCTCATCTTTTTGTGCGTGCATGTGTGTGGACCCCTGAGTTTCTAAGTTATTTGTGTGGCTTGTTGTGAAGTTCATGTATCAAGGTAGTTCAAGTTTACTAACTCAGGGATGGTTTCAACTAAGCTAGCAATTCAAGCTTGGGGCACAAGTGGAAGATCGTGCCGTTTGAAAGTAATATGTCAACCTTTTTTTTTTTTCCAACACGCCCCACTGCAGCCAACTGTGAGGCTGACTAGGAAAAGCAGCTTCGTAGCCACAGTCAAGACACATGACTCCTGAGTTTGCAAGTGCCACGGAAAGCTTTACCTAGAAAAATGTGGGGTGCACCACTGCAAAATAGCGAAGTAATGCATCTAAGGAAACAAAATAGAGAACAAATGGTCTGAGAACAAATCTGTTCCAAAGGCTGATCCCCTTCTCTGTGGAAAGCTCTGGAGACACAAGAGGAAGATTTGCTGTGGTCTCCAAAGGCAGGACTTCGCAGCACTTCACAAATCACAGTGCAAATGTACTTCCAGACTAGTCTTTGCAAAATACGTAATAAAAAGTGGATTAATAAGTGCTGGTGAACCTGACAGATAAAGGGATTTAGGATTTATTTAAAGCCTTTGAGGCCAGGATATGCATCTAAGAAAGAACAACCAGAGGAAACCGGCTTTGAGGCCTTGGTATGCTGCAGGCTATGCTGGAAGAAGGGTTTACTTCCGATCCATCCCTGTGTCTTTTTACTACACATTCTGTAAGATGCCCAGGAGGCAGCAATCTGCAAAACATACTTTTATGAGCCCAGCAAGCTATTACACTTAACCTTTTTTTAAATCTATTATCTTTTTTTTTTTCAAAATAGGAAGCCTGTACGTTGCAGAGCAAAGCATGCCTTAAGCATAAGCCGTATTTGCAACGACAGAGGCATTCTTAGAAAATGGGATGGTGAATAGGGCTGAAGGCAAGTTCTTCATTTGATTTTTAGTAAATAGAAGTGTTTGAGTCTGGCCACATCTCCCATGGTAAGCATTGTTGCAAAAATACCTGCATATCCAAACATGCCCATTGGCTGGAATCTTTGCTCTACCCTACTCTACAAGGGTCCTTTTATGACTTGTGGACTTCAACTCCCAGAATTCCTGAGCCAGCCAAATCATAAAAAGGCCATCATTTCCCACCTCTACTCTACCCAGTTGGGAATAACTGACCTCCAAAATTTCCCAGGAAAAGATACCCCAAACTGCCAAGGTCAGATGGAATCATATTTTTCAGCTTCCAAAATCCAGGATGGCTTCAACCACAAGGGGTTTATATTTGCAGTTGTGTCTCATCCCATCAGTGGCTTCCCTGTTCAAATTTCTGTACATAAATTTTCTTTTTGTGTGTGTGACTTAATGATGATACCAAAAGAAAATGTTCATAATGGGTATGTTCTTTTGCAGGAATTGAAATAATTAGGTTAAGTTTAATACCAAAATACAAAGCAATTTTCATGAGCCTGGAGTTCTCCAGATATATTATAACACGAGGCCCATAATCGCCAGGCACTGTGAGAACTGTAGCCTAACCTATTGGGAAGGCAGTAGGGAGAAAGCTATTTTAATGTGCTTAGCTATGGGGGTTTGGGGAAAAGTAAACCACCCTGAGAGCATAAGAAGTTTAACCCTTGGCTGCCACCCAATGGTTATCTGAGATATTACAGCCCATGTATGATGGAGGGGAGGTTCTAAAGCTCCTCATTTTGACACCCCCTCCCCAATCTATCTATGGAGCACTCTTTTTTCTCCTTCCTTTCTCTTCAATCCTCCAAACTCAATTTTTTAAACTGGGTATTGTTTTGTGTGTGTGTGTGTGTGTTTTTTGTTTAACTGACTATTGTGTTTACCCTACATTCTTGGTGGTTAACCTACAGTTTATAAAAATAATAACTGGACTGTCTTAATATTTCAGGTAAGGGCTGTATTTCTTCTGAATTTCAGCTGGACTTCAGCTCCACCACTGCCCTGGAAGTGTAATACCTATTGGCTCAGTGTTAGTTTTCACTGGTATCCTGATATAATAACTTGTGATGATACCATATAGTAGCAGATAAGTTCTTTTCCAAATCAGTTTGGTTCATTGTGACTTCGTGGACACATTCTGGAGACAGAAATACAGAAGTGTATCTGTGCCTCTTACAGAGTGTTTTAATTTTCCACTCTAGCCTGCCGCCCTGGGCATTCCTCGAAATCTCTAATTTGAATACTAATGAGGCCTAAACCCTGTTTACCAGGTTTCAGAGGCACAGAGATATAGAGAACTTATTCTGGGCACCAACCAATGTTCCTGCACATATTCCAGTTCTTATTGTGTTCTAATATAGCTACCAACATTGCAATAAAACAGGCAAATTCCCTATGGCGTGTGCTCTCAGTTAATTAGGGGAAGCATCTGAATTTTCCATCTCAAGTGCCCTGACTGCTCCTGAGTTTTCTAAAGTCTGTTTTTATTTTAGATTTCATTGTGTGTGGTCTAAAATACTTGCTGTTTCTTACAACAGAATTGAATGAAAGGGGGGGAAAAGGGCACTCACGTCATTAGGGCCAAAAAGATATTTGAAACGGTTGGCTTGTTTGCCTGTATGTTTGAATATTATTCTCTATATTCTGTTTCAATGGTCTAGAAGCATCCCTTCAACTTCTAATGTAGAGCACTACTTTTTCCAACTCCAGTTGACTCTCAGATTTATGCCATGTTGACATTTATTGATTTGTTATAGTTATATCCTACTTTTCCGTAGGGTTATGTACACAACATGATCTTCTCCCGATTCTCCTAACAACAACCTGTGAGGTCGAGTTGAGAGAACGTGACCTGAAGTCAATCAAGGAGGTTCTTTGCCTGAAGTTAGAGTAGACCCGAGTGTCTCCAATCCCAACAGTTTAACTGCTGTACAACTCTGGCTTTTATGATTATTGCTTAATATGCATTCATTCTGGCAACTGTGGATTTGTAATGAGGTCTAAAGTGATATCAGACCAGGACTGGGGAACAATTGGAAAAGCTTCCTCAAGTTGTGTTCAACTCCTGATGTCTTGCATAACCATATCCACACTGTACAGTTTTCTTGGCAGCAAAATGGAAGTGGTTCGCATTGCCCTATTTTTAGATTTCTTAATGGCCTCTTTTCCAAGGAGTGACCAGTTTCAGTCTGGCTTAATTGCGTATGCGTGTTTATGTGGGAAGCAATGGTCAGACAGGATAGGAAAGTTGCAGATTCGACCATTTAGTCAGCAGCCAAGCATTTTCAAGCATTTTCCCTAGTTTCTGTAACAGGTGACATGATGGCACCTGCACAGCAAGCACATTTTAATGCTGTATCATCATCTACAAAAACACTTACTTCAGCAAGAACTCAAGGACAGTAAGTTCTTAACTGCTGGGTGATATTTCTTTCCACGAGCGTTGGGTGAGAAACTGTCCATGCATCCATTTTATCTCACTATCTTTCCCAATTACCTAGTTGTTGGGATACATTTAAATTAGATAGACAGATGATAGGAGAGCGAGAGAGCGAGAGAGCATTTTGCCTCTCAGGTTGGACTTTCATTCTGCTCCTGGCAGAGCACCCTTTTTGGCCAATTTTCTATCTGAGGTAGGGAGTCTCTCTTTTGCACCATCTCTTCTGATTCTGGCATCATCAGTAGCAAATCCCAGCCCTGCAGTATCATCATAGCACTTTCGCCATTTCCCTGCCTTCCATCCTGCTAGGTTGCTATGGTCACAGTGGTTGTGACAGGGAGAATTTCCAGATGATTGGAAGAATAGTTTGCCTGACCTGGTTCAATGCTTCAGCAAACAGGCTGTGTTCCAACCCATTCTTGTAAGGTCTAGGTTAGGAATGGTTGGCAACCCCAGTAATTCTGGAGATAGCACAGGGGGGAGTGAGACACTTCATCCACATGTGAGACCATCACATTTAAGCAGTAAAATCCTGCTGGGAACAGCACCCAGGAGCTTATCTCTCAGCCTTAGTCCTGACTTCATATGCAGCTGGAGCCCAGCCAGGGCTCAGGAGCAGACTATAACTGACCAGATGCCAAAGTAAGCAAACCTTCTCCACTTTTAAGAGGTGGATGCAACTTTGGGAGAAGGAACAAGCAAAGCCTGTCATCTCTGGAGCATCTGTCTTCATTCTAAGCAGAATGAAGACAGGAGTTAGACAGACTCCTCTTGGCTTGTAGGGGTGCTGCTATGGTGGACTCACCCATTCTAGCAACTTTACAAAACCCAGGGGCTCCTTGAAGATCCGGAACTGTCCAACTGCCACAAGCTGTGGAAAGAGAAAGGAAAATTGATTTAGAAACCTGTGGAATATATACATCTTAAGATGCTGCACTAAGCAGAAACCTGTGCTGGTCCAAAATCACAGACCTTTTGACATCTTTCAGCTGAAGGTGAATCTGAAGTCTAATGAGCACCAAGGATAGGTATGGCCATGAAGCTCCCCCTCCCCCTGGTCCTGTCTTCTTTTGTCTCATTCCATCCCCCACCCTCCACTGCTTAGATCAGTTGGGATCCATCAAACATGTTCAAGCCAAGCAAACATGCTAAGGAACAGAAGCTGTAGCTGGAAGCTCTCTGCCACACTTCTTAGAATCATTTATTTAGTTTGGGTTTTTTTTCTAAGTACCATGACAAAAGAGAGATATAATAACCTTGGAATCACACAGGGAAATGGCCCAGAGTGTCTTCTGAAAATGTCCAGCTTCCCTAGCCTGACATCATCTGGATATGTTGGAAGGAATTTCCAAGAATCATGGGAATTCTGGCAATTCCAGTCCCAACATATCCAGAGGATGCCAAGTGGAAGAAAGGTCTAGCTGGATTTCCTTTAGCTTCCCTTGTAACCAATAATCATACCACAATCCTATATAATGTGATTGAAATAGAGTAAGTTATACGACATTTTTCTGGGCTGCTCTTTTGCTCTTAAAAAAAGATGTTGGCTCAAATGTGTGTGTGTTTTTTAAAAGCAATTATAAATAAAAATGAGCTGATAAAACCACAGCAGGAGGAGCAGTGAAGAGAAAGAAAAATTGTTCAACACTGTTGACAGCAAAGATAACTAGCTTAGAAATTCCCCACCCGCCCCAGATTTGCTAGGGTATCTTAATGGAGATAACTGAAAGAAGCATATTCAGTAATTTGTGGTTGTGATGGCCTCTCTTCCTCACAAAGCACCTTCCCAGGGAAGTGAGGGCTAACTTATTCTCAGCATCAGGTAGGTTTGGGATTGCATCAGGTCAGGGAAAGCTGTTCAATTCTTCTACCACTGTTTTGGAAGGCGAAGGAGACTGTCCTAGAAAGAGGTCAAAAACGATGCATAATCTAACGTGGCTTTTCTCTTAGATAGATCTGTTCCTGTACTACAGGCAGCAAACTCAACAAAGGAAGAATGTATCAGAGATTTTAAAAGGCTCATACACCTCGTGTGTGGTGCACATGAATGCTGCAGTTTTCTGAATGCTAAAATCTCCCATCTATATATAAATATTAGGTAGCATTTTCAAGAATCAAAACTGCTTCCTATAGCTAATCATATAGATTAACTCAGTAAAGTCAACACACTAGATATTATTATCTCCATGGTGTCCTTGGTTTCATGATATATGCCAAAAATATGCCTTATGACAACAGACTGGCACGATAGTCATTATATCCTCTGGTGCACTCTGAGACAGACATAGGATTGCCAAGGCACGTTGAGTGACACAGATCCTTTCTTCATATACATCTATGAGTAGTTACATCTGCCTATACTGCACACCATTCCACAGTTTCCCACCATTCTAGATGATCCCATAACCATTTTGTCCCACATTTGTCCATCTTATGCTGATATACAACTGAAAGCCCTGTTCTCTTATGACACACACACCTCTGACTTGCATAGCCTCACACAGGCAATGTGATACCACTGACTACGCACACCACCCAGTAGCTGAACTGTCCTGCAGGCAATAGAGCAAAACCTCTTATCTTGTTCACAAGCAGCTTGGACTAATTCTGTTTCCCAGCATCTCCTGCCTTGCATGAAAACATGCCTCGAGATAATTCACTTATCAGCGAATTGTGAAAAAGCCAGGATGTTCAAAAGCACTGGTAGCAGCAACAACATTCCCTTCTCTGAGAAAGTGGATTGATTTGCATTTATAATTTGATCTGTTCTAGAAGAAATGGACAGCTCCACATCTAAAATATATAAAATATACAATCATTACATTCAAAAAGCCAACAGAATCAAACACATTTTGTCTTGAAGCTCACAAAAGCCAAATAAATGACCACCATTTGCTGATCAAACAAATGGGGTTGGATGGAAACATCATCACCAGAAGCCCTCTCATATTTTTAATCATGTTTTTGTCCTTTCTTCTTGTTAAGTTCCAAGGTAAGAAACAAGGATTGAGAGAGTCTGCAGTCCTAAGCTTCCTTAGTACCCAAGGGGACTTACTTTTGAGCAACCATTTTACAATTGAGCAAGAAGTAATGTAATGTGACAATCTTATCTGGAATATCCCCAAGATAAGGGGATATCTTCTCTCAAGAGCCTTAGTTAGGGCTCTTCCTCATATGCCCCTAATCAGGAAACGCATGTACCCTCCTAGTCTTTCCCATGCGACTGTTGTTGTCTCATTTCCAGCTCAGAGCAGAGGCAGTTTAAAGTCGACATCAGCAGTTGAAATGTAATTGAAATTTAACATTGTGTTTTCCCTCTATCCCACCACACATTTTTGCTAAGGACACAACCTAGCGCATTTGATCAATGGGAAGCTGATGATGTGGTCAGGAATTGGGATGTGCCCAGTTCCTAGCCACTTTGGACTGCTGTGATCACCCCAACCCCTCCCTCCCTCCCCAAAATCACTGAATGCTGCTCAGTGTGGCCATATCAGTTTGGGCTGAAGGAGACACCAGAGATGTCGCTGCTGCAGAGGCATCCGCTTGCCTAATTCTTGGCTAGCACTTCCTGAGGTTCTTATCGGTCTTAGGCAGGATCTTTATATGTACAGGTCTAATGCTCTTTTGAAAGAGCACTGGGTATGTGTTCAAAAATAGCCTGGCTGACAGGTACAGGCGTGAGAATACCTGTTCCTGACCTCATAGAGGCAGCTGACTAAGCCTACCATTCAAAGGACCCCATCTGCACTAATTCAGTTATGCTGAGAACCATTAGTGGCTGGGTTTCCTGCTGGCAGGTGGTCCCAGTGAGAGGGGAAATGTAAGCGGGAGAATCCATCCTTCGCTTTCCTTATCTTGTCCTGCATGAAAGCTGTAAGGACATTCACGAGCCTTTTGAGTGAGACTGAACAGGGCTTGGCCATTGGGACAGTAAACTGTAGGGATGTTTTCCCACTGGCTGGTGGACGACACTTTAACATGGACATCCGGCTGTTCTCTTAATGCTTCTTCTTATACAAAGAACAGCTCAAAATTCAATGTAAAAAAAAAAACATCTACATTTCTCCCTACCATCTTTCTGGTCTGTTTAAAGAACTCTGCCCTCAAGGTACTTCAGGTCCCTAATGACACTTCATCCAAAAAAGGGGATAGGGAACACAAAGTTCATGCCGGTCCTTGGGGCTCCCTCAAAGAAAACTTCCACTGCATTGAAATATGAATCTCACAGCCTGTGCAACAACGTTGCTTCACTGAACCTCCTCCATCAGAGAATTAGAAGCCACCTTCATTCCCAAGGGGGAAATCACTTCCTTTTGCAAATCGTCCCCTCCGCCTGGTGCATCTTGCTGCAGTTGCTCTAGGGAGCAGGAATAATTAGAAACTGCCCCTAAGCGACAAATCTTATTTTGCCTGCTCTCCATTTCCTCTACTCTAGTATCTATAACTACCTCTCTCCAACTCACCCCTTTTACCTACTGACATCCTTCAAAATATGACCAAATAAAACCTCATCTCATGCCCCCCCTCCTTCCTCGCTCTTCTTCTCCCTCCTCCTTTCTCTGGCTTTGGGGTTATTCCGCAGCCATACCAACAACCTCCCTCCCATCCATCATCTCCTGCACCCCACCAAGGGAAGGGCTGCCCCCTTTACCCTCTGTGTTCACTTGCATTGCCTGCCTGGTCACCCTCCTTTGGGTAGGAAGCACCATCGTTGATTTATTCATTCATTTGGTAGAACTCCAAGAGAATTGTGCATACAGAGTTCCGTATTATCCGTTTAATCTGTTTTTTCTCTCCCCTGCAAATCACCTTGCCCGATTTCAACGACATGCCCAGCTCCAACTCTGCCAATCCTCCTTTCTCCAATTCCCAGCTATGGTATTGCGACTAAGCCCACCCACTTCTTCAGTACTTGCAGACACTTTCTGCATGCACCGGATTCCCGACCAACTTCAGTGCAGTGATATTGATTGCCATCACTACCCCACCCCCCACCGTCTGTTTACTGTTGTGGCGCTTTCTCTTTGCTAACCCTCCTCCCTCCCCCTCCCAAAAGATCCCCCACTTCTCCCCATGCCCTTTGGCTCCCTAAATGCAGCCTAAAGAGCCTATTTTATATTGCGCAGCTTTATTGCATCACCCCAGCCATTTTGGTTGGCTGCTCTTCCTTCTCACCCACCTTCCTCCACAGTCTGCTGCAGTGGCAGCAGGCAGAATGCTGCTGTGCCTGTTAGATTACCTAGGGCTGTCAGCTACAGTCTAGAGCTGCTGTATCAAGCTATAAATGGAAAAGGATTGGGGTGGGGTGGGGGGAGGAAATACGAATGACCTCCATCTCTGACAACAGAAATCTGTCTGTCTGTGTCTGTCTGTCTGTCTGTCTGTCTGTCTGTGTCTGTCTGTCTGTCTGTCTGTCTGTCTGTCTGTCATCCATCCATCCATCCATCCATCCATCCATCCATCCATCCATCATTTATATCATCTTGAATCTACTCCGGCACCTGCCTTCTCCAGAGTCCCCATTTCCCGCTGCCTCACTGCAGCAATTTCACAGCCTCCTCTCCTCTCCCCTCCCTTCCACCCAGGATGGGTTCGGTGCAGCTCCTACAAATCGCTGCAGTGGGTGATGTGAACTCCCGGCGGCTCCCTTGGTCTGCATCCCTCCCCCCCCCCCCCCCCCCCCCTTTGGGGGGCTGCCCGCCTACCTAAACGCCCTCCCACCCCCGACCCCGTTCCTCTCAAAACGGAGGCTCTTGTCTTGCTGCACCTCGCAGATGGTGCTGCTGCCACCCGCCGCATCTTCTTGCTGCCTGTAAGAATCAACCTCGGATCCAGGCAGGATGGGATTAAAGCGGGGGAAGCGGCCACTGGAAGAGTGGGAGCCAGTTTAGCCGACCAACATCCCAATGTGGGGGGTGCGCGCTAAGGAGGCTATGGGGAGCTGTTCCCGGTGTTGAAATCCTCAGCGCTTACCTGATTGACGACTTCCATCTTTGCTTGGGGAAAGCGAGGGCGACGCAGCAGAGCGCAGGGGAGGTTGGGGCCGGTGGGGAGGGGGGGACTTTATCTGGAGCAGCCTTAGAGGGAGGGGCGAAGAGCGTGAGGGGGGGAGAGTAATAGCGGTGGGGAGAGAGTGGAAGAGCCGGGAGGGATGACGTCAAAGCTACTGGCAGGCGAAGCTAGGATGAGAGCCATGTTCTTTCTGGGCAAATGGAGAATACTTTTAGAGTGGGAAATGGAGGTTAAGTTAATGCTAAAGCTAAAATTGCTTTTCTGCTCTGGTTTTTGCTCATGTTTTGCTATTGCAATCCGTAATAAATAGAACTCCCATTTTGTGTGTGTGGATTTCCATAGTATATGTGTCATAGTAGACATAATTTTGAGATGTGCGGTCTTCAGTTCCCAGAATCCATACCTTCTGCATGCTGGCCAGGGAATCCTGGGAGTTGGTCCATACAACTTATATTTGCTAATATTGAGAAAGACTGCTCTACATAGTAAAAGTAATGCTAGGCCTCTATGCCTAAAATACAGGAATGCGACTGAAAATGAATGGAATCTACACTGCTCAAAAAAATAAAGGGAACACTTAAACAACACAATGCAACTCCAAGTCAATCACACTTCTGTGAAATCAAACTGTCCACTTAGGTCGCAACACTGATTGACAATCAATTTCACATGTTGTTGTGCAAATGGAATAGACAAGAGGGGGAAAGAATAGGCAGTTAGCAAGACATCCCAAATAAAGGAGTGGGTCTGCAGGTGGTGACCACAGACCTCTTCTCAGTTCCTATGCTTTCTGGCTGATGGTTTGGTCACTTTTGAATGCTGGTGGTGCTTTCACTCTAGTGGTAGCATGAGACGGAGTCTACAACCCACACAAGTGGTTCAGGTAGTGCAGCTCATCCAGGATGGCACATCAATGCAAGCTGTGGCAAGAAGGTTTGCTGTGTCTGTCAGCGTAGTGTCCAGAGCATGGAGGCGCTACCAGGAGACAGGCCAGTACATCAGGAGATGTGAAGGAGGCCGTAGGAGGGCAACAACCCAGCATCAGGACCGCTACCTCCGCCTTTGTGCAAGGAGGGACAGGAGGAGCACTGCCAGAACCCTGCAAAATGACCTCCAGCGGGCCACAAATGTGCATGTGGCTGCTCAAATGGTCAGGAACAGACTCCATGAAGGTAGTATGAAGGCCCGACGTCCACAGGTGGGGGTTGTGCTTACAGCCCAACACCGTGCAGGACGTTTGGCATTTGCCAGAGAACACCAAGATTGGCAAATTTGCCATTGGTGCCCTGTACTCTTCACAGATGAAAGCAGGTTCACACTGAGCACATGTGACAGACGTGACAGGGTCTGGAGATGCCGTGGAGAACGTTCTGCTGCCTGCAACTTCCTCCAGCTTGACTGGTTTGGCAATGGGTCAGTAATGGTGTGAGGTGGCATTTCTTTAGGGGGCCGCACAGCCCTCCATATGCTCGCCAGAGGTAGCCTGACTGCGATTAGGTACCAAGATGAGATCCTCAGACCCCTTGTGAGACCATATGCTGGTGCGGTTGGCCCTGGGTTCCTCCTAATGCAAGACAATGCTAGACCTCATGTGGCTGGAGTGTGTCATCAGTTCCTGCAAGACGAAGGCATTGATGCTATGGACTGGCCCACCTGTTCCCCAGACCTGAATCCAATTGAGCACATCTGGGACATCATATCTTGCTCTATCCACCAATGCCACGTTGCACCACAGACTGTCCAGGAGTTGGGGGGTGCTTTAGTCCAGGTGTGGGAGGAGATCCCTCAGGAGACCATCCGCCACCTCATCAAGAGCATGCCCAGGCATTGTAGGGAGGTCATACAGGCACGTGGAGGCCACACACACTGAGCCTCATTTTGACTTGTTTTAAAGACATTACATCAAAGTTGGATCAGCCTGTAGTGTTTTTTTCCACTTTAATTTTGAGTGTAACTCCAAATCCAGACTTCCATGGGTTGCTAACTTTGATTTCCATTGATAATTTTTGTGTGATTTTGCTGTCAGCACATTCAACTATGTAATGAACAAAGTATTTAATAAGAATATTTTATTCATTCAGATCTAGGATGTCTTACTTTTGTGTTCCCTTTATTTTTTTGAGCAGTGTATTTCATCATAACATAGAAGATGGTAATTGCAGTGTCTTCCTCAAATGGGGAAATGGCTCGTTTTAAGCCACTTTTCTGGGAGGGCTTTAGATTTAAAAGATACAGACAGGTATCCCTTCAAGAAGATGCTGCCTTCAAACAGAAAAGTGCTCTGATATTCTTAAAACAAAGGACTGTCTTCTTATTGTAGCCTCAATGGTTTTGTGTATCTTGTATATATGATTTTAAAAAGTCTACAGAAAAATTGTTTTAATTGTGGGCCACTTTTCAAAATCAGAGGATTATAGAAAAAAAGAAAAGGCAGTGGGGGGGGGGATGTTGCTTTTTTAGAATGTGACTACATGAGATGAGTGCAATCCATAATTTTGATGAACTGCGATTTTAAAATATAGCTTCTGTTAATTGAACAGTAACTTCAATTTTCCCCCCTAGAAAGGGGAGAACATAGAATAAGAGTTTGAAGAGACCTTGAGAGCAGGAGATCCTATACCATTCTTTGGGCTTGGGTGGGGGTCTGGATTGGAAGACTTTCAGCGTCCCTTTCAACTCTTATGATTCTGTTCCATTATTGTTATTTTTTCCTACAATCACACAGAAAGAAGTGTATCCATGGGATGGATACAGTGCTCTAGAAAGGATAACAATAACAAAACAGAATAATTAAGAGTTGGAAGGGACACTGAAGGTGCTCCAGTCTAGACCCCCACCCAAGCAGGGAACCCTACATTATTCCAGACAAATGGCTGTACAATCTCTCCTTAAAAACCTCCATTGATGGAGCACCCACAAGTTCTGGAGACAAGTTGTTCCACTGGTTGATTGTTCTCACTGTTAGGAAATTAATTCTAGGTTGCTTCTCTCCTTGATTAGCTTCCATCCATTGTTTTTAGTCTCATCTTCTGTGCTTTGGAGAATAGGTTGACTCCCGCTTTGTGGCAGCCCCTCAAATGTTGGAACACTCCTATCATGTGACCCCATCGTGCTTCAGCTTCAACCATAATAATACAGGAGCATGCAATAGATACAAACTCAAGGTAAACCGCACCAAACTCGATTGCAGGAGATACGACTTCAGCAACAGAGTGGTCAATGCCTGGAATACTCTACCTAACTCTGTGGTTTCTTCCCCAAACCCCAAAAACTTTAACCTTAGACTGTCTATTATTGACTCACCCCTTTCCTAAGAGGTCTGTAGGGGGCGCGCATAAGTGCACCAATCGTGCCTACCGTCCCTGTCCTATTGTTTCTTTTTATTTTTCTTATATGTATCCATTTCATGTATTCATGACTATGTTTATACATACCTGTTTTCTTACAATCGCTTGACAAAATAAATAAAATAAATAAATAAAACATATCCAAGTCCTGCAACCGTTCATATCCAGCCCCTTAACTCTATTTTTTGCTCTTCTCTGCACTTTTTTTCTAGAGTCTCAACATTTGTTTTTACATTGTAGTGACCAAAACTGGATGCAATATTCTAAATATCGTCTTACCAAGATATTATAAAGTGATACTAACACTTCACATGGTCTCTATCCCTCTGCTAATGCAGGCAAGGACTGCACTGGCTTTTTTGGGGGGTGGGGGGGTGGGGGTGGCTGCAGCAAACTGCTGGCTCATATTCAGGGGTGTCAAACTCAATTTCATTGAGGGATGCATCAGGGTTGTGTTTGACCTGGGGTGGGTGGGTGTGGCCAGGATGGGCGTGGCCAGCATGATGTCACTTCTATTGGGGGGCACCTGTGGTGGCCCCAGTCCTCTGCCAGTGAAAACGGGCTCCCGAACTCCATTTTCAGCTGTGACTGCCTCCTACAACCCTCTGCCAGTGAAACGGAGCTCGGGGGGGCCACACATGGCCCTCGTGAGCCCCATTTTCAGCTGGGACAGCCTCCTGCAACCCTCTGCCAGTGAAAATGGAGCTCAGCAGGGCCGTGTACATCCCTCCCAAGCTCAGTTTTCGCTGGCAGAGGCACCATGGGCTGGTCCATTGCTATTTCCAGGGGGCCCCCATGGGCCAGACTGAAGTATCCTATGGGCCAGATCTGGACCCCAGGCCTTGAGTTTGACACCCCTGCTTAAGTGATTGCCCAATAGTTACTACTTTTGAGCTGGATTCCACCTGTTCTATACCTGTGCATTTGGTTTTTCTTGCTTAAGTGTAAAACCTTACTTTTCTCACCATTGAATTTCTTATTTTAGATAGGGCCCAGTGTTCATCCATTGAGATTCTTCTGGATCTTGAGCCTATGTTCTGGGGTGTTGGCTATTTCTGTCAGCTTGGTGTGAGCTGCAAATTTGGTAAGTTCCCCTTCTATTCCCTCGTCTAAGAACTAATACTTAATTCAATAGAATCCTAGACATTCTTCCAACTAAACTAAACCAGCTAGTGGTATCTGAACCCACTTGAAATGATCCAGTAACAACTCCCAAAACCAGGAAAAACAGATTACCCATAACAATAAGGAAGCTTCAATCCAAAAAGAAATCACTTTGATGGAAAAATAAATCTGGTCACATTGCCAACTTCAAAAGCCGATACAAAAATTTATGCCATCAGATAAAGACTGAATGCATCAATTATCACATTAAAGAAGAGGAAAACCTTCTACGCACCAATTCCACCCGTGCTTTCTACAATTTTGTAAACAACAAACTAAAAGACTCAATTCCACCCCTGAAAGGACCTAATGGTAAAGACTGCAACGACGACACCATTAAAGCCAACCTCTTTAACACATTCTTTGGCTCAGTATTTGTAAACAGCAATGGATCATGCCCAGTATTTCCTAGTCAAACCACAGACAACTACAGTGATCTAATGCATATCGATTTTACAGAAGACAATGTTGAAAAAGCACTATGCAATCTAAAACCATCTCT